ATTCGAAAATAGTTCTTAGATAATAATCACTGAGATCTTAAAAACTTTAAAAATGATTCAATTGTTCAGACAGACTCGATTTGAAATTGTCGCAATGCCTTGTCTTTTGATTTTACCTCGCCAACTCACTTTTACTTTTTTGTAGCCCTGGGCATATACATTATAAAAATGCAATTTGCTTGTTATAAGCTTAACTTTAGAGGATTTATTGGCAAAATGCTTCTCGATTTTTTGCATGAGAGCCCGCACGTTGAAAAAATGTGGCATGTGATGTGCCGTAATATGCTGTACAGGTTTTCTTTTCAATTAATATTCATCACAGACAAAATCAACATCATAAACTTTTGCTATTTTATGAACCTTTGCTTTTTTACGTTCAAATGTATTATTTCTAGTTTAGAGAGCATAGAGCTCGAGAGCGAGTTGTATATGAACGATATATACTAAAGAATACAGCGATAGTTGTACAGGCTACAGTATTAGTTCTCGTGTATAAAGAGTATAGAGTTCGTAAACAAGTTATATATGAATGATAAATAATTAAGAATACAGAGATAGTTGTATCTGGATTGATACAGACTAAAGTATTAGTTCTCGTGTGTAGAGAGTATAGAGTTCGTAAACAAGTTATATATGAATGATAAATAATTAAGAATACAGAGATAGTTGTATCTGGATTGATACAGGCTACAGTATTAGTTCTCGTGTATAGAGAGTATAGAGTTCGTAAACAAGTTATATATAAACGATACATACTTAAGAATACAGAGATAGTTGTATCTGGATTGATACAGGCTACAGTATTAGTTCTCGTGTAAAGAGTATAGAGTAATGCTACATACTTGAGAATACAGAAGGCTATACCTGGATTGGTACTGACTGAAACGATCTAATGTAGTAAGGCATTTGTTACACATCTACTGAATTTTATTCTGTTTAAAGAATGTATGAGTTATCAGAACTAAGTCCATTTTTAAAGTTTCAAGGTTTTTTAGACTTCTTAGAGTCCCTAAAAAATTCTTAGATGACCTTTCAACTTCACAATTGCATGTTTGACAATATTTCATTACTTTATGCTAGATTCTTTATAACCTAAGATATTAACCGAAACGATTTGGTCTTCAGTCAGATTAAAAATGTTACACAATGTAATAAAATCCAACTTATTGAAAATCTAATTTTGTGATAAATAACTGTAACATTATTGTTCAGCAACGTCAATAAAATGCTTGAAAACCTACCACAAAACCATGCTTATCCCTATATTAATCGGAATTCAGAGTCAGAGCAGGAATTTACTATTTCTAAACTATGGAATGAAAATTGCCATGAGTTCTATAGTTCTACTAGCTAGAGGGTTAGACGGACAACTGTGGAGCAACAACTAGTTCTCATGGAGGATATTCTCATGGCCTCTGCATATTGGAACCTTTATAAGATGTAAGTTAAACAAATCTAGGGTTTAAATGTTCAATGGAGTCTTCAGCATTACTTTCAGACATTATTCTTCACTTTTTAAGAATCTTTAGAACCTTTTTCGCCAAAGGGGATTCTTTTATATCTAAATATTATTATATATCTTTATTTTAAAAATTCTCGTTATGCAACTGTATTTTGTTGAATTTTGGTTTCCCTCTGTTTGAACTTTGTCTATTTCCGGTTTTCTAGAGTATATATCGCAGCAGGAAACAGACTTCCGGTGCATTCTAGAAATTGCAGAATTTCATTATTTAGAAACTATTTCTTGAATTTTAAAAAATATAGTATTTAAAAGGATTTGTGAAGGGCCGATAGAAAAGTTTGAAAAGCTGGTCGTGCATAGATTCAAACTGTTATAAAAAGTTGCATCAATTCTAAATTACAAGGTCAACTTTAAAGTGTCATAACATCCTGGCCTTACTTAACTTTACTTTTGTGTAGCCCTAAACATGTGCATTTAATACTTTGGATTTCTTAATGAGCTTGTTCTCCATGCGCGCAATTACTTGTAGGTCTTTTCTATGCGACATTACAGGTTGAATTAGTGACCTCGTAGCTCCTATAGGTTTTATTTTACGCTAAATTAAAGTTTATCCGGCTACATAATGGAAATTTGAACCATGTTTGATATTTTCATATAGCTCTTCAATAATTGAGTTAGGATTGAAAACATATATATTTATAAGATTTCAATCTTTCGGTCAATTTACTTTTATCTGCTTCAATTATTTTCTATCGAACATTCATTTTTCCCGTTATGGCATGTTAAACTGATCATTTTTCTATTATTCACTAGTAAGAGAGAAAACAAGTTAATATTTCATGTCTGTGTGCGGTTCCAAGATCATTGAATATTCAGATGATTCTATTAACAAAAAATTCATGGATCACGAAAAGGAAAAAGGAAAAGATTTACAGAAAAAGATATATTTATTTCAATCTTTTTTTTTTTGGGGGGGGGAGGTTGTTGAATAACTTTCAAAATGCTTGAAAAAAAAACATATAGTATTTGATTCAAACTGTTTTAGGGGAACTGTGGAACAATTAAAAAAAGAAAATCGCACGTTCATGACCGCCCATTTTTTCAAAAGGGGGGAGAGCTCTTTCAGAATTAACTACTGATCGATTAGATCTTCACCAGATAGCATGTTTTTACATTTATACAATTAACTGAAATTTTTATTTTATCTTAAATTGGCATGAAAGAATTAAACTAGTAGAATATTCATTCTAATCTTCTCAGAAAAAGTATTTCATTAAAAATGTTAACTGAATAGTTAACAATTTCAAAATAAAAAGTTTCACTTTAAGAAAAATTATGATAAAATTGTCTTTGTTTATTAAGTTTTACTTCAGATTTCATGCTAGAGCAAGAGTAACTGTAATAGCATTTTTTTCATTGTACCAAAAAAGTTTATTTCCCTTTTCAATATCAATTGAGAGAAAAGCTACTTTCGTAGTCGACCCTAGAAATAACTTTCATCATCGGCCTGTAGACGTGTGCATACTGTACATGTAATGTTTTCATTCTCCAATAAATCCTTTTAAGTCAGTACCAATCCAGGTATAACCTTCTGTGTTCTCAAGTATCTGTCTTAACAGATACAACTTAATCTCAAACTCCAGGTTCCTCATATTTGAAGTTTAAGCGAGGTGATACTTACATCTTCTTTTTTATTTTTGAAGAGAATATATTTGGTTTTAGTCAATATCAATCCGGATACGACTCTGTCTGTATTCTCAGATATCTGTCTTACAAGATACAACTCAATCCAATACCCTTACTTAATGACAGAGTAACAAATAGACGTAGTTTAAAGTTACTCGACATTTTTAATCTTGCATGTCAGATTTACAAAGGTATCCTCTAAACCTTTTGAATAAAAATGGGAAAGACATCCTATTTGTTCTCGCCTAAAAGTGCTTTATTTCCACAATTTCCTTTATTGTTTCTAATGCAATAAATTCTTAAAACACTTATCCAGTGAAAACCCAATTTAAAATATTCAATTTTTAGCCTGCAAAGCAGGGATATCTCTTTCATCTATAATCATGGACAAAGCATTAACAGGAAACTGTTGTGCATCAGACATATCACTCTATCAAGTTTTCATCTTTAAAGTCACCCTTTTAAAGATGGCTGTATAGGTTATTTTAACTCTGTCTCTCTGTCAAAATAAGAATAAACACATCATATTTGAATAGTTAGAAATACCGTTAAGGATTGAGTTTGAATTTATTACTTTTATGATAGTTCTTTACAATCATGTCCATTGTTCAAGGCACAATTTTTTAGAAAAAAAAATTCAAATACAAAAGTTTATAATTTAAAAAAAATAGCATTAAGCAATTATCCTTTTGCTGTTTTTTATCATTATGTGACATAAATCTTAATCCTTATTTTCATATTTTTGCGAACCCTTTAGTTAACTTAAAAAAATACGTATCTAGAAAGATTTCATCAATTGGTTCTTCCTTAGTGTGAAAAAAACATGTTAAACCAATCATTTTAGAAACTAGCTTTTGAAAATTATTTTTGGTTTCGAAACGAAACATACAAAAACAATTTTTGAAAATATATTTTAAACAAAACTCTCAATTAATATTATTTAATAACTTCAGTTTTTGCTGCAAGACTTAATTTCAAGTGACCCTATATGTGTAGATTAGATAATTTTTTTTTATGATCCATGATTATTTTTAATTGCGTTTTCTCTATTAAAATCCATGTATAAACTTTTAATTAATTTGTTTAAACTTGGATAAGGATAATTTCCCATTCGTAGGTGGGATCAAATTTCATATTTGTTGGTTTGCAACAAAAATGATTTTGTGAATGAAGTAGAAAGAACTCGATGTTGAAGGTCCTTGGAGAGAACTGTTCTAACAAGAACGATAAATATTGGTTTTATCTGGGTTAAAATAAAACAAATACAAGAGAAGTACTTCCGTCCATAAGTGTATACCAAGATTAAAGGGACAGTAAAGGAAAATAGAACTTTATGATTTAAATTACCCTTCATTCTGCGGGTTAAGTTTAATCATGGATAGTTTAGCCATGATCGTAAAGATCTCAAGCTAAGTCTGGAGGATCATCCATGCATAAACTTAAAGGGACTGATAGCTTAATTTAAATGTCCTTCTATCAGTAACCTTGAAACCTTGATCTGATCCAAAAATGTGGAAGATAACGACGTCTTTATGACTAGAAAAGTAATTATTGAGAAAAATTTTTCATGGTTTCTTATAAGTATGAAATGCGCAAGTCACTTTCGCAGAAAGTCCACAAATGAAAATCAAAAGTTTAAAGTAACAAAAACATGGATATCTTAATCGTACTTGATCAGACAAAGCTTTAAAGTGTATTGTTGGAAATCGGATATTGCCATCTTTGCATGTTGGGTCACTTGAAATTACGCTTACAGTCCCTTTTGGAGTTTCGTCCTCTGCTTACGACTTAACACAGGGTCCCCGAGTGAAATATTCCTTCTAAATTTAACCAGAACAAGAGTTTTAATAAATAAATTATAAAAATATTTATTTCAGCTAAAAACATAAAAGATGAAATGATGATATTCAATATGAAAGTACATATATTACATACTGACAAAATTAATAATGACTAGATAGTAGATAATAAATTTAAACAGGCCGCGCATTTCCTATGTTTGGTTCTCTTTTGATTGGTTCCTCCTGGGTTGGTTCCCCGATGATTGGTTCCCCCTTTTTTGATTCCCTTTTTTGGTTCCCCTTGTTTGGTTCCCCTTGTTTGGTTCCCCTTGTTTGATCCCCCTTGTTTGGTTCCCCTTGTTTGGTTCCCCTTGTGTGTTTCTCTCTTATTTGGTTCCCCCTTGTTTTGTTCACACTTGTTTGGTGTCCCCTTGTAAGGTTCTCCCTTGATTGGGTCCCCCTTGTTTGGTGTCCCTTGTTTGGTGTCCCTTGTTTGGTTCACCCTTGTTTGGTTCCCCTTTGTTTTTTTCCTTCTTGTTTGGTTCACCCTTGGTTTGTCCATCCTGTTTGGTTTCATCCGTCCTCTGTAACAAAATGTGAAGACCAGAAGATATTGTTTGATATCAGGTTACCGGGTTACACTCAGTAAGCAATAAATAAATATTGTATATACCTACAGTACACAGTACACACCTTCGGTTCGGTATTACTTACACACACTCTTTTGGTACAGACACACATACAAGACGTTTCTGCCCCCTGGTATAAAGATTAAAAGGTTTTGGGCACGTTTATATGAAATCATTTACTAAGAGGCTTCTTTAAGTGGGGTTTCAGCTGTTTTTAAAACTTTTCCGTTTTTATGAAAATATATCTTTTTGGTTTTCAGACATTACGAACATTCTGTTCTGAATATGTTCGTAATTTCGAAATTATAAAAATTTCATTCGACATTACGAAAGAAAGTAGGAATCAAATGTGTGGTAATTCTGTCCAAAAAGGTCAAGGCAATCCGGAATAACAAAAAAATACCATTAAAAAAAAATAAAAACAATTTCTTTTCCAAATATTGTTTCTATTGGATAACATATCCTTCGCTAATGTAGCGAACAAAGCAAAACTAGCTCGATCATATTTTTCTAAATAAATGCATTTTCTTATATTGTTGACAGAACAAGAAAACACATATAATTTAACCTTGTTTTTTTCGATTGGTTTATAACGATGTGTTTTCTCCACACATTCCTAGAACTCAAAAGATTCACTTTACGTTTAAAGTGACTGTTTCTTTAATTTTAACAATCCTGAGAGATACTTGCTCTTTATGTTACATTTACATTTTTTATCTCGGTTAAGATAGTTGTTTATCTAGTTTGAACAGAGATCTGCTGTATCAATCCGGCCACAGAGCACAAACCACTTAAAGAATCAACAATTTAAGGATAGTTAAAAGAATGATATCTCAATTTTTTTCGGCTCAATTTTGACGTTCCATGAAGCTGTTGAGTATGATTAACCATTAAAAACTACTGGAAATCAACGGAGGGACGTTGTTTAGATGAATTTAAAGTGAATTTACCCCTCTGATAATACTCAAAGCTTGGTTTGACATGTTAAAAAATGATTACGGGACAATTTTATCTGGAATATTTGTCCCGTGAACATTATTCAGCAGGTCACACCCAGCTCTGTGATGCAAGATGCAGTTTGGTAATTTCCAGAAGTTTTTAATGATTTATCATACTTCAGAGCTGTATGAAAGGCTTTTACGGGTCAAAATTTATAAGAAAAAAAATTGAAAACTGTACATGGTAATCATTGTAATCTCGTAATCATTTTACGTTGGACAAAAGTTAAAAATCGGTTATGTAACAATGTAGATTGATAGGCACTTGAAATTAAATACCTCTATATAAGGTGCAAGTGACTCTATACTTTAGTGACTATTTTGAGAGCTTCAGGAATATTCTTTCTCTTCCCTCTTCCTGACGGTCTAGCCTGGGGTCAAGGTTCAATAAACAAATAGTATTAAAGGGACTGCAGACTGATTTTAGAGTGACCCATCAATTTAAAGAGTGGCATGTCCGATTCACAACAGTACTCTTTAATATTTTGACTTATGAAGGATGCAAAGACGTTAGTAGAGTTGTTGATTATAATGAGCAAACCAATTAAAACAGCCTACTTTGGTTAGGCGGGTCCAATCTACATAATTAAATGTGTTTTTGTTTTTTTGAATTATCTCGTGCTTTGTAGTTGAATAGAAATATGATATATGAAATATATTAAATATTATTGTTTATTAATCTCCACTGTCAATGATCAGAAAAAGGTTTAAAGAGAACCTTTGTGATTCATACACACCACCCTTTAGAGGGAGGTTCACTTGAAATCATGTCTACACTCCACAGTCCTTTTAAATGTTTATTGTATGTTTTCATGTTTGGTTGGAAATTATTTTAGCAAAATGATATCTAGAAAGTTTGTAAAAAGTTAGTATACATTTTGACCTACTATGATATTCAAATCCTAAATGTTATTCTATTCGTCCTGAATTTTAAACTATGTTTAATAATTTATGCATTTTCTAATAATTTCTAATAACTTTCAGGAACACAGAAAAGAGAAACTATTTTTTACAAACCTATGAAACATTTCAGAATAATGATGATAAATTGTAAATTTGTTTTGAATTATCAGTTGGACAAAAGTTATTGAACCAGTTCATAACCCTTAAGCTTTTTTGTGACAGTTCTGTACCAATTCTTTAAGTTTGTGTCTATTGAATTGTTTAGTGTATGTTTATTGAACTGGTCTAGAGCCTTTTTTTAGTTTATGTTAATGGAACCGGTTCATACCTCATCTTGTTTAGTCAATGTTTATTAAACAGGTCCACACACCTTGTATAGTTTATATGTATTAAACTAGTCTATACCCCTGGTTTAGTCTTTATATTTAGTAAACCGGTGTACACCCCTGGTTTAGTTTATGTTTATTGAACCAGTCTATATCCCTGATTTAGTCTATGTTTATTGAAACAGGCTATACCCCTGGTTTAGTCTATGTTTATTGAGCCAGTCTACACCTCTAGTTTAGTTTATGTTTCTTAGTGAACTGGTCTACACCCCTGGTTCAGTTTATGTTTAATGAACCGGTCTACACCTCTGGTTTAGTTTATTTTTGTTGAATCTCTCCATACATCTTGTTTAGTATATATTTATTGAATTGGTCTATACCCCTTGTTTAGTTGATGTTTATTGAACCGGTCTATAAACATTTTTTAGTTTATATTTATTGAACTGGACTATACCCCTTGCTTAGTTTATGTTAATTGAACCGATCTAAATCCCTGGTTTAGTTTATGTTAATTGAACCGGTTCATACCTCTTGTATAGTCTGTAATTGACCCGGTCTATACACTTTTTTGTCTATGTTTAATGAACCGGTCTATTAACCTTTTTTTGTTCATATTTATTGAACCAGCCTGTTTTCCAAGTCCTGTTCTACCGTACAGTCTCAGCTTGCCTTCCTGAAGGGCAAACATAATATTGGGATTAGATTTACATTAAAATAATTGAGCAAGGGTCTTGGCCCCAATAAGCGAATTACCACCGAGTTCACAAGATCTTGATATCACCCTCTGAACTCAGCAGGGCAAGCTCTCCTGGCTCTTGAATCTTTTTGGAAACTTGTTTTGCGAAGCTCGGAGTGATTTGCAGGTTCTGCGGCTCGGAGGTAAGTTTTTGGGGTTCAAACTGGCCGAGCATCCCATATATGATTTAAATTTAAGATTAAAGCTTCATCAATAGTCAATACAAGAAGAAAATATCTATAATTCTTATTATGATGATGAATTGGGCCAAGATCAAGTGATCAGGGGATGAAAGCTCATTATACCTCATATAATCTCCCCTATGGACCTTNCCCCTCTCATTCATTTCAATAATAAATACCTGCATTTGATCTTGGGTTAGCTCACTCTGAAAATAAATATATTCAATGATTTTATTAAATGCTCGTTTACAAAGAATTTTAAGCCTGGAATTGTATTTTTTTGTTGAAAATATTTTATGTTTTCGTGATGTTTTCTACACTAACTGTAATCTAATTTCTGAGGAAATTGTATTCAAATTGGCATTTTCAGAAATTATACGGGAAAGTTTTTATTTTCCCAAAACTGAAAACATTTGAAAAGTTGAAAAGTTTATGATTATTTCTTTTTAAAATAACTAGCCTTAGAGGGCGCTTCGCGCCCATCTTCTTAATTAATTGTGAACATGTTCTCTTTGTGTACATCGTAAAACAAAACAAAAACAATTCGCGGATTTTCACAAAAAATTTCGTGGATTTTCTAAATTTTCAAAAATTTAATGAAGATCGAATTTTGATGGAGACAAATATTTGAAATTTTGATCATTCATAAACCTTCCCTGGGGTCCCTAGATGTCCCACAAAAAATTTGGGCCCGATCGGTTCAGCCGTTTTGACGTTTATTGGACACAAACAAACAGACAAACAGACAAACAAACAGACAGACAAGCCAAATTTATATATAGATTATACTTCTGTGCTTCATAAAATAACAAATAAAATCAAGACAGTAAAGGGTCTTATCCACTTGTATTTCGTCCCTTTCGACGTTGAAATTAGAAAGTTTAATTAAGTTTGAAAAAGATATTATTCTTCAGAATTTCATTTTTCAAAATTAAGCATAAAAGGGTTCCCTAGAAAAGTGACATTTCCAAAACAGGAAAGAAATAATAAAATGGTAAAAAAATGTCATTCTTAAAAAATCTTTTGCTACAAATCAAGTTGCAAATAATAATAAAAATTTAATTAGTTTCTAAGATACAAAAGAATGTGAAAAATGATAAAATGACAACTAATATCATGAAAATTAAATTCTTTTTAGAGACATTTGACGACTAGAAATGTAAAATATTTTGGCTAAAATATCAACTTTAAGATTTAAGAAAATTAAAATTTTAAATTAAATCAAACTTTAAATAACGCGAAATTTTTAAATATATTATATTCGGGATTTTTAAACAAACTTTCTTAAACAGTAAATTGTTTATTTCTCATCAATATAATTCACTGAACCTGAAAGTGATTGAAGTTGATATTATTGCTTTTGTTGTTTTTATTGTTGTTGTTGTTGTTGTTGTTGTTGATGTCTTCATAACCATTACAGAAATATTCGGATTCCTTTAAAAAAAAAATATTATTAAAAGTAATAATTTACATCGGAAGCTCGTAACTATCAATGCCCATTCAAAATGCATGATCCTGTTAGCTATCGTTGTCAATACGGACACTTTCAATCAATTGATCAATGTCTCAGACAGGACACGATCCACACGGCTAGAATCCCGTGAACTATCGATGCCACTACCACTGGGCGTAATCGTCTTTGCTATGTCAACCAGACAATAGCGATCTATTGATCAATGTCTTAAACAGAACAAGATCCACACTGCTACAATCCCGTGAACTATCAATGCCACTATCACTGGGCGCAATCTTGTTTGCTATGTCAACCAGACAATAGCGATCTATTGATCAATGTCGAGTCTCATACACAATCTCAATTCGTATGCTTCAACGAAAACCATAATTACTTTCAACACTGTAATCAAAGCGGAGTTTCTGTATCAACTAATGTATTTTAGGTCTATATGTTACAAGTTAAAGTTAATAGACGTAATTAAGATTAAGATTGGACATATCACATGATTTAAGCTAATCATTAAAACGCTGTTTCAATGAATAAAGAGTTTTACGTAAAAGTTTACAACCATAGATATTAATTATATACGACGTAATGCAGGTTTACACAATATTATGTGTACCAAATATTAATAATAATAATAATGATAATGATAATAATAATAATAATGATGAATAATAATACCTGTATTAACGCTGCTTGTATGCTGTCAGCAGACAATGTTCTAGTCAGCTGATGAATGGAATCCAAACTAAGCGGGAAAAAAAGAAAAATTAAGAAATCTATTGAACATATGCTATTTTAAAAAAAATACTTTAGCATGATCCTTTGCAATGAAAACGATAAAGTTTGAAATTGTTTTTAATCAATGACAAACTATCAATAAATAGAAAATAATAAAAACGACCAATATTGAACAACAACAATTACAGGGGAAGACAGTTCAAAATTGCATTTTTGTGTAAATTGATTTTTTATCAGAAGAATGTGTACTGCTTAAAGAGTTTAGGGTTAAACATGAGCTGCTCTCCTAATTATTCTATTCCAACAAAATAAAAAAAGCATTTTAATTGAATTGGAAAATCTGATGAATAAAGTTAATGAATCTTTGAAATATCCACATATTGTCTATTATTCTTCGTTCCTAAATGCTGCTTTCAGAATAGAATGCTCCTGACTTCTTCTTTCGAAAACCCGACTTTCTCTCCATTTCCCGCGTTGTTGGGGTTTCAGCTGCGACAGCTGAAAGTTTAAAATGGCTGCCTCATAAATTGTTTTGGAAAATTTTAAATTTAAATCTGGTGGGAAGGTTCGAGGCTTCTATGTTGAAGAGAACAAATAGAATTTAAGTTTCTCTTTATCTTTCTTGAACAATAAAATTCAACTTGAGGCGGATGAACTTAAACTAAAAGATCTCGTAAATTTTGGTTACCTTATGTTTTTCTGTACTGCCGTCAGATGATTCTAAGCCTGAATCCTTCTCAAAAGTTGGTTCCAATCCCAAACAATTCAGCTGTCGTTCTAAACTTCTATGTCGTGCTAGATGATCCCCGAACCTTTGACTGGTGCCCAATCTGTTTGAGTGTTGACATCTAGCGGTAACTTTAGGAACTTCAGACTCCGGTAATGCTTTGTCAAAAGTCAGCTGATTGTAATGCTCCATTTTGTTCTTATTACAGCTTTTAACCTGCAACCTGAGAGAAGTAATGTGGATTAACCCCAGAAATTGTTTCTCATTGTCAAGCCGCCATTTTGGCTTTCTCCAATAAACAAAAATCTTTGCGAATTTTCTGTTTAAATGGTTGAATTTTCAAAAATCGTTGTTTTCAAGGCAAAACATTTACGGTTTGCCCAGCCTTAAAACTTCCATTGAATCGATCATGCGAGTTTTTGGACCTGATTGGTTTAGTTTTTTTTTGACATTTTTATAATACAAAATACAGACAGATTAACAGACAAGCTCTTATATAAGTAAACCTGTATCTGGAATGAGGACCCAGTCTAGAGATCAACCAATTATCTGTTTCCTCGCCAACTTTTCTAAACACAAACATGTGAAAAAATTGGTTTTGATCTTGATCTTGATCTTGATCTTGATCTTGATCTTGATCTACTTCTGTGCTAACCTGCTATTCCAAAAGTCTTCAGTACTACCCATAGTTGACTCTCTTTCTTTACATTTGAGAACATGTTTCTAAACAAAAAGGGTTAGTTTCAACTCCCAGGTTTGGAGATAAATCTCTGGGTTTGGAGTAAAATCTTAGGGTTTGGAGTAAAAACAAAAGTGTTTGGAGTAAAAACAATGGTGTTTGGAGTAAAATCATGTGTTTGGAATAAAATCTTAATGTTTGGAGTAAAATCATAGGGTTTAGAGTAAAATCTTAGTGTTATAGAGTAAAATCTTCGTGTTTGGATAAAATCTTTGTGTTCGGAGTAAAATCTTATTGTTTAGAGTAAAATCTTATTGTTTGGAGCAAACATGTTAGGGTTAAGAGTAAAACTTTATTGTATATGGAGTAAGATAATAGCAATTGGAGTAAATTCTTATGGGTTGGAGTAAAATTTAGGGTGTCCAGTAAAATCTTAGGTTTCGGAGTACCATGTTATGGGGTTTGGAGCATATTTTAATGTGGTTAAGAGTATAACTTAATGGGGTTCGGAGTGTAATTCCATGGGATTCTAAGAATAATCATGGGGAGGCATTATTCCACTGCAATCAGATTCTGTGTAATTCAATGGGATTCTAAGAATAATCATGGGGAGGCATTATTCCACTGCAATCAGATTCTGTATAATTTAATTCCAAGGGATTCTAAGAATAATCATGGGGAGGCATTATTCCACTGCGATCAGATTCTGTGTAATTCCAAGGGATTCTAAGAATAATCATGGTGTGGCATTATTCCACTGCGATCAGATTCAGTGTAATTCAATGGGATTTTTAATTAAAATCCCAGACTGTTAAAATGTTATTAAGATTAAAAATCATAAATTAAATCTTCTTTTTGACCTTTCCTTCGCTTATTAAGATTTAACAATTTCTAAATATTTTAGTATGGTTAATACAGTGCAGCCCAAAAGTGTTTAAAGCCTCAAATTTTACTGCTGATATTATGTTTAGAGGCCTTAAATAATTTTTTTATGCTTTTGTTTTGTGTAAGAGATCAAATAACAAATTATTTCGCCGAAGGTGTTTGAAAAAAAAGCAGTTTAGTCATCAGAGCTGTAAAATCTGTAAAAAGTGTTCTGTAAGTTTAGTAAATTTAAGAAAATAGCACAAAAATGACTGATTTGAAAATGTAAATTTTTGACTTTTATAATTTTTTTTAACAAAATTATGTTAATTTTGGTATTTCCAACAACTTCCCTTTACAGCATTACTTTGTCAAAATACTGTTTTTACACAGGGGCAGAATATTTTGAGTCGCACTGCATTCTCTGTAATATTTTGAGTCGCACTGTATACTCTGTAATATTTTGAGTCGCACTGTATACTCTGTAATATTTTGAGTCGCACTGTATACTCTGTAATATTTTGAGTCGCACTGCATTCTCTGTAATATTTTGAGTCACACTGTATACTCTGTAATATTTTGAGTCGCACTGTATACTCTGTAATATTTTGAGTCGCACTGTACTGTAATATTTTGAGTCGCACTGTATACTCTGTAATATTTTGGGTCGCACTGTATACTCTGTAATATTTTGAGTCGCACTGTATACTCTGTAATAACAACAAAGTTTTGTGATTAAGGACAGAACTTGTTAACCTATTGAGACACTTTGTATTAATTGTTATATTATTATTCTAGAATATATCGATATATAAGTATAAATGTTATATTATTATTCTAGAATATATCGATATATAAGTATATATGTTATATTATTCTAGAATATATCGATATATAAGTATAAATGTTATATTATTGTAGAATATATCGATATATAAGTATAAATGTTATATTATTATTCTAGAATATATCGATATATAAGTATAAATTGTATATTATTACTAGAATATATCGATATATAAGTATAAATGTGTTGTGTTTTATGGCACTATATATAACCCCGACTTCCAATGCAATTAAACCTTTCTTGAAGATAAATTGTTTCCTAACTTTGTCCATTATCCAGGGTGTCCTAATTACGAATGGAAATTCAAGAGTGTCTGAGATTTTGAACAATTAATGTACCTCTTTAAAACTTTTCCAAAAAGGGAAATTATGTATTTTTTGGGACACCGTGTTCTTTGTGTTTAGTGTAAAGGGTGCTAACGATCTCTTTTGTTTATTGGTGGTAAATAGCTCATTAAGCTAAGAAATGAAAATATAAATAAGACCTTGATTAATTCAGTCCATAACCTCATGCCCTCAGTCCGCCGAAAATAGTTTCTAGAATAGAAAGAACATTTTTTTACGAGAATAATCTTTTTATCGCAAATATTTCTGGTCCAACACATTTCTCGTCAGAAACTTGGTTTTTCAGTCGGAAGCATTCTATTCAGAGAGATTTTTGGCTGGAAATTGTATTGTTTGGAAACGTGTAATGTCGGAATATAATTGTCGACACTTTTTATTTTGTTTTGGAAACATTTAATGGTAAAAAACATTTGTAAATTGTAATCGGAAACATTTTCAGATGGTAATATTTTATGTAAAAACGTTTGTGATTTTAAACATATGTGGTTGGAAACGAAAACATTTATAACCAGAAACATTTTTGGCGCCAGAAAATTAAAATGTTTGAAATCGGAAATATTTTGATCAGAAACATATTGTATGATAAATTTAAGACTAGTATTTTATTTTCTAAAACGCTTTGTTTTGGAAACATTTTTCTTAAGTGCTCCACGCAAATTAGATTTTCTATAAGATAAAGCTATATCACATTTTTAACTAAAAACTCTTTGCCTTTACAGCTCTTTGTAATCTTGAAATCAAAGAAAAATATTAAATTAATTTTAATTTCTAAAAATACATTTCTTTTCTCTGCTGATCAAAGTAGCAATTTGTGTGGTGAGAGCAATTAAATCGATTATTATGAAAATATGCAAAGAAAGAAAGATAGGACAGATTGGACGGATAGGAATAGGACAAAAAGGACAGAAATGACCGATGTGAAAGATCGTAAAGATAGGAGATATAGGACTATAGGATATATAGGACAGATAGAACAGATAGGAAACATCGGAAAAAGGACAGATGCGGCAAATAGAACAGATAGGACGGATAGGAAAAATAAAAAAGATAGGACAGAAAGGACAGAAAGGAGACTTAGGAAAGAATGGGCAGATGGGACAGAAAGGACAAAAAAGGACAGATAGGGGAAATAGGAAAGATATGACAGATAGGACAGAAAGGACAGATGGGAGATATAGGAATGAGAGAACAAATAGGACAGAAAGGACAGATATGACAGAAAAGACTGATAGGAAATATAGGAATGAGAAGACAAATAGGACAGAAAGGACAGATAGGACAGAAAGGACTGATAGGAAATATAGGAATGAGAAGACAAATAGGACAGAAAGGACAGATAGGACAGAAAGGACTGCTTGGAAATATAGGAATTAGGGGACAAAAAAGGACAGAAAGGACAAATAGGACAGAACGGACAGAAAGGACTAATAAAATGGACGAAGAGAATTTGAATAAACGAAATCAAGATGTGAATGAAAAGACGACCTTCCAATACCATCTCCTTCTAAGAGCAGTACAAGGCTACCCCTTCTTTCAACACATCGAACCTCTCTTAAAATAAAACAGTTTTATTTTATTTCTGACCAATTGTCTCGTTACAAGGGTTTAAAGAGCGACTTTTGTAATTTTAAATGTTTTATTTTTAAATTAGTAACAAAATACAAAAACTTATATATAATTTTCATAACATATTTGTTCCCCTTTTATATCTTGGTTTTTACAAGGAAATTAGGTACATGGCACAGGTAGGAAGTATTAAGGTTTAAGAGACAAAAATAATAAATTTTTGCTAATATTTACCTTATACTGGCCAAATTAACCCGCCAAAGCATCTCTCCAGACTAAAATATAATAACAAAATTTATTTTATAAAGGTTTTAGTCCAAACAAACAAAAGTAAGCCATACATCGAAAGAATTCATCAAATGTCAGGTTCTTCAATTTCTGATGATGAAATGTTGCAGATATTTAGTTTTTTTTAATTAAATGATTATATGGAGCTCTTTAAAACTGTTCCCGCATATTCATGGCTATTTATTTATTTTCGCCAATACTGAGATTTACGTAAAATAGTATAAAACCCATTGCAAAATTATCAAGACGACATTTGATAAATTCTTCATTTAGGTTTTAACTGTATATGTCATCAGTTATGCAGGGTTACCCACAAAGGATGAGACTTCAGAGACACAGAAATTTTTCAATCATCTTTCAGACTTTAAAGTAACTCTGCAGCTTTCCGTTTTTTTTCTAAGTTTGATAGTTTCTCTGTTTAACTCTATTTTACAGGGTTACCCACACAGAATGAGACGACTGTAGAGAATTTATTTAATCTTCATTCTTGAATTATAGACTTCTGGCTAAAAACTTTCCCAAAATATTAAATTTTCCCATCATAAGACTATCATTTTCGGCAAAAAATCAAACTAACGGGCTCCGGGTCACCGTTATTAACTTCTCATTCTGTTTGGGTAACCCTATACTTCATATACTTAAATAGTTCAGTAGCTGAAGTGCCCGGCGTTGCCCGTAGAATTTTCTAAAACCGAATTTTAAAAAAAAACGTTTTTTGAAAGAAAAAACAGATTTTGGTAATAAAAAAAATTATTTTTTGGGGAGGGGGGGGGAAATCAAATTTTAAAAAAATGTCCCGAATTTTTTTAGTCTATGCTCAAGGGTTCCCTAGAAAATGTCAGTGATGTCAGTCCATTCGGTCTAGCCGTTTTGCCAGTTATAGCTAACAAATATATACAAACATATATATGTGAGCGAAGAGCTTTATTATTTACTAGATTATACCTGTCCCCGTAATGAAAGGAAAAATAAAGAAATAAATGAAACATGTTTTGAAAGTTCCGTTTTATTAAGCGTATATGGAAGATGAGATAGATAGACCTGATTGGATCAGGAGCTATAATTTACTTGGCATACAGGAGTGTTAAATAAACAACTTGTAAAATTTAAAAGGACAACGATAAATTTTGGAAACATGATTAAATAACATAATTAAAATGAAAAAAATATTTTTTAGTTAAAAATTACCTGCGCCCGTAAAACCATCTTGTAGCAAATCAGTTCCGTATCCTGGCATACAACAAACCTCTCCTTCCATTTGGCCAAAAACCCTAATTCAAAAACTCATTGTTTTCTTTATCCAAAAGTACATTTTCTTTAAGAACAACGTGATAGAATTTAGAATAAATGAAATCTCTATCTAAAGCTCAACATTTTTGTGTTGGACAAAAAAATCATGATTTCAGAAACCTTTTCGTGCTTGACCTTGATATTCTTGACCTTGATATTCTTGACCTTGATATTCTTGACCTTGATATTCTTGACCTTGATATTCTTGACCTTGATATTCTTGACCTTGATATTCTTGACCTTGATATTCTTGTGATATTCCTGACCTTGATATTCTTGACCTTGATATTCTTGACTTTTCTGTGATTGACGTTTTTAAGCATAACGATTTATGCGTTGGTGTTTTTTGTCTGAATTTTATATTCTTAACGTTTTTGTGCTTAACGCTTTATGCTGAACGATTTATGTTTGATGTTTTGTGATTGACCTTGATATTCTTGAAGTTTTTATGCTGACCGATTTAAGCTTGACGTTTTGTGCTTTACCTTGATATTCTTGACGTTTTTATGCTGAACGATTTATGCCTGACGTTTTGTGGTTGACCTTGATATTCTTGACGTTTTTATGCTGACCGATTTAAGCTTGCCGTTTTGTGCTTTACCTTGATATTCTTGACGTTTTTATGCTGAACGATTTATGCCTGACGTTTTGTGGTTGACCTTGATATCTTAGACGTTTTTATGTTGAACGATATAAGGTTGACGGTTTGTCTTGATATCCTTGACGTTTTTGGGCCTGAAACTTTTATACTAAACTACTTTTTTGATTTTTAGTGCTCGCCGTTTTATTCAACGAATTCATCAAAATTCTGATCTTTGCATCTTTTTTCAACTTGCTTTTTGGTTGGAAAATCAGATTTAATTAGGTTTTATGATTTTAGAAAAAAAAAACATAAATTTTCCTGATGTTTGGTGCCAGACCTCTCCACTAAAAACTGGCGCCTGAAAAGTAAAACTATATATTTTCACGCGAAATTTAATTAATTCAATTTGTATATTGTCAAGTTTCACTTTGCTTTCATTTGACATTGAGTAGTTTAGATGTTTATTATATTTTATTAGGCACAGCAAACTAATAAGGTACAGAACTAACTCCCCAGATAATAAGACCAGGTCTACTTTGAAGTGCTGCTAGACCTCGGCCTTAAATATTTCCCTTCCTTCTTTTATCTAGCCGCGAAAAAAAAACTACTTTACTGCAGTAGGGCTGGGCACGTTAAAAAGATTTATAAATAAATCATAGAAAACAATGTCTTTCATCCTAAATCTTTTTACACACATGTTTGCAGATTGCAAAACACAGATTTACACACATGTATGCAGATTGAAAACACAGGATTAAACACATGCATGCAGATTAATTGCAAAGAAAAACAGTTTTACACACAAATATGCAGATTGCAAAACAAACGTTTAAAGGATCCTTCAGTAATATGAGAATATAGAGGATAGAGATTGCAAAAACACAGGTTTACATACATGCATGCAGATTGCAAAACACAGGTTATGACACCTGCATGCGGATTGAAAAACACAGGTTTTGACCCGTGCATGCGGATTACATAACACAGGTTATGACATGTGCATGCGGATTACAAAACACAGGTTATGACAAGTGCATGCGGATTGCAAAACACAGGTTTTGACCCGTGCATGCAGATTGCAAAACACAGGTTATGACATGTGCATGCAGATTTCAAAACACAGGTTATGACACGTGCATGCAGATTGCAAAACACAAGTTTAAAGTGACCTTCATTGTAAATATAGAGGATCCTTTAAACCATTGAATGTAATAAATACCGGAGCAGATCCCATGGTTACCCCTAGACAACTTACATTGTACATTGTCTGTAAATCTAAATGTGCTTATCAGTAACTACGCAAATCTTGTATTGCGATTAACCTAACCTAGCTATGTCTGTAAATATCTAAGTCAAACCTATATTGTGATTTGCCTAACTATGTTGATATATAACGACACAAAACTTGTAATTATGTCTATTTAACTTAATCTGTAGCCTATGAACCCAAAATACAATTAGTTGGAATAGACTCCGCTTTGATTATGGTGAGAGAGTAACTGTTACTAGTTTAGCGAGCGAGAAGAGTCCTGAATCAACATAGATTAGGAATCGGTTCAGATAAATTGTTTCCGGATTGACATTGATAGTAAAGCATTGGTTTTAATAAATCGTGTCAAAATTTACATTGATAGTAAAACATTGATTCAGATAAATTGTGTCCAAATTTACATTGACAGTAAAGCATTGGTTCAGATAAATTATGTCCGGATTGACATTTATAGTAAAGCATTGGCTCAGATAAATCGTGTCAGGATTGACATTAATAATAAAGCATTAGTTCAAATAAATCGTGTCGGCATGGACATTGATAGTAAAGCATTGGTACAGATAAATTGTGTACTTATTGAAATTGATTGTAAAGCATTGGTACCCGTACAGATAAATTGTGTCCGAATTGTCTTTGATAGTGAAGAATTGGTTCAGATAAATTGTGTCCAGATTGACATTGATAGTAAAGTGTTATTGAACCATTGTAGACCAACGAGAGGGATTTAGTTGTACCTGGATTGATACGGGTCTGAAAGACTTTTATGGAGTAAGGCATTTACTACAAGCATACTATCAGCGATTCAGAGCAAAATTCTTTAAAATGCGATATTATCGGAAATATTTTTTGTTTCTATTTGTTTTTGCTAGAGATATCCACAAGAATTGTGTTCAAGAAATGCGGCAAATTTTTATTTTTTATAGAAAAAGGGAAAAATTTTCATCTATCAAAATATACAGTAAAATTTTCAGCGTAAAACAAGAATTATTTCATTTAAATTTAGAACCTTCCACGTTAGCAGAACATGTACACAATCTATGTAACCCTAAAAACCTGGGGTTTTAAAGAAAATCAAAAAATAAATGGGGGGATGTGGGGGGGGGGTATTATTATTAGAAAAAAGCCTAAATGTTAAAGTATTGAGGTACAATGCATTTCAGAATTTCAAATTCAATAACTAAATAGGTAAGGAAGTTTTTAAAAGATTTGTAAAAATTGCCAACAAATAAAAAAGTAGAAATATAATGTTTCTTCAAGTCCATTTTTAGGCTAATAGCTGTTTTATTTTTAAGGTTTTGGGATCCTTTTTTATGTGAAAACTGTAAATGTGATTTCTGCAATTAACAAAAGCACTATAGGTAGAAACAAGAAGGGACACTGAATGCCACCCCCCCCCGGCCTTTTTTAGGGTTAAGTAGCACTCTGTTTAATGACATGGCCCACCCTGGAGTGTATCCTATCATGTTTACATCTTTCTAGATGTTATAAAACTCAAATAAACACAAATATTGTATTTGAGGTAGATACTTCAATAGAATAGTTTCATATACTTCAAATATTACAAAACTTATGTAGTTAATAACTTACAAATAAATTCCAACAAAAACTGGTAAATGTATTTCTAGAAAATTATATATTAAAATTGTTTTCCCTTCATTGAATATGCTCAAATGCATCTCTATAGTTTCAGTAGAAGAAAATATTTCCATTTACTGTCAGCGCCGATTGAAGGATTCATAACTCTAATTGGATAATGAGATAGATAGAAAGATAGATGTTACCGCCATACTATTTCTATTGGTTCAGAATAGACAACAAACACATGACTGAACCCTGATTGGATCTACCCCCCGCCCCCCCCCCCTCTCTATCTATCATACAAGAATTTAGCAACAATTTCAGACAACAGGAGAATACAAAATTCCAACTACACTTCGCTTACATGGAGTCCTAAAAAATTGTCTCTTTATTAAAAATTTATTAAATTTATTAATTAACAAATTGTTTGTAAACATTAGATATAAAAAATATAGAGCTATATTTATGTTGAAAAAACTAGCTTTTTAGTAAAAAAAAAAATACAGAAATTCGGTTTTGTTTGAACTCCCTGTATTTTGCAGATGTGTATGGATTCAACATGAGAATCTAAACAAATGTACAGGGTGTCCCAACAAACATGGGAATTCTGATTTCCGATTCCTAATAAATGACAAAGTGTGTTTGTATCAAAAAAGAGTGTGCGTCTTATGATCCTTTGCAAACTGAGGTCTCCCTGCTTTGTAATTAATTATTTTTATTAAACATTTGAACAATTTTAATGTTTTTTTAATAAATCTGAATCCGGACAAATTTATAGATATCCCATCAATCAGTTTTGAGGGAGCAAAAATACATGCTAGACCACATTAAGGAAATCTGTAAAACAGAAAACTGTGGAATAGAAAGACGACTTTTAGACATAAAATAATGAATTTAAATAGTCTGCCCCTTTAGTAAAAGTAAATTCATCATAAATGAAGCATAAAGTCTGACTGCGTCAACCATGTTGCACTACCTAGTCCTGTTGATTGAATACTATATTAACCCAATGTCCGTGCTGTTCAGAACAAACTAGGACCGGAAAGGTTGACCCGGCTCGGAAACTCAAATGTACCACGGCTGCCCGTGAGCAATTGTGAAATGTAAACAGACCCATTTTACTTAAAAGTGACTTTTGAAACGTTTTGGTTTGTCACAACATAAAATTCACTTGTTAAGTTTTTTCATGTTAGTTTTCATTTCGATGGTTTATTGGTGTTCACATCTAGTGGAAATAAGACGATAAACAGGCCATTACTTAATTCCTGCATTTTTTTGGGACACCCTGTATCTAAACTAAGTCAGAATATTTCTAGTTGTGCACGGATATATTGTATATATTGTACATATTATATATATTGTATATATTGTATATATTGTAAATATTGTATATATTGTATATATTATATATATTGAATATATTGTACATATTGTATGTATTGTATATATTGTATATATTATATATATTGTATATATTGTATATAATGTATATATGGTACATATTGTACATATTGTATATATTGTATATATTGTATATCTTGTATATATTGTATTGTATATGTAGTGTATATATGTATTGTACCAAAATTGTATGAAGGATGGAATATTAAACGTTTTTACACTGATAACTCTTTTTTTGTGTTAGATCCAGTAGGCATTTTATTAGGATTGGTCGGGGGGGGGATATTTTTTGATCTAGTTAAATAAGCTCAGCTCATTAAAAGCAAGTTTTCAGGATTTCTCATCATTCTTAGAGAAAATTATTTTTAAACACTTTTTTTGTCCTGTACATTTCCGTTTTCACAAGAATTATGCTTCACACAGCTTTTCTATAGATTCATAGAACCCACTGCAGCCAACTAGACAGAAGGAGAAGGTCAAATTTAAGGGACAGCCTTGCTACCACTTTGTGACCTCGTAGCTCCTCTAGTTACATATTCAAAATTCAAACAAAAATTCAATAATTTTTTTGCAGAGATAAGAGATTTACAGAGATTGATTATCAGTTAAAATATGCGATATTTTCCACAGTATTTTCTATTGTGTACAAGTACTGTACACGACCAATCAGCAAACATCCGTATTCAGGGATATTTAAGGATCCTTTGGAGACGAAGCACAAAATCTTCCAAAAAAGACTGATTTATAAATGTTATGTTTCATGTTTAAAATTGGAGTATTTCTTTAAAAGGTGTAAAACTTAACCCCTGAATCATGGGTATTATGTTCAACAAGTGGCGGTGAGATGGCACTCTGAAAAGTAAAAACCTATCGAGTCAACTTAGACCTACGTAGCCCACTCTGTGAAAGGAGATAAGCAGTCTGTGTAGTCTGTGCTCTTTAATAAAAGAAGCTATAATTGAAAACATTTAAGATTTTAAGCTTACTTGGAATTTACTTTAGCTTGACATAAACCATGGACAAACCGTTTTTATTAAATTTAACACATGTTTTTTCCGTAACTCTTAGAAACCGTTCAAATTCATCCCCATTCATAAAAAAAATGAGAAACATTAAAAGAATTCATGCACATTCCCTTTCAGGGCGTAAACACTTCACTAAGTATTGTGGATTGTAAAAAACATGTCAATTATATTCTAAATAATTATAATTGGATATCTTGCATTGTAGGGCGGACACTGATAGATAGATAGAGTTAAGGATAGAAGAATATATATGCATAGATAGATAGATAGATAGATAGATAGATAGATAGAGTTAAGGATAGAAGAATATATATGCATCGATAGATAGGTAGATAGATAGATAGAGTTAAGGATAGAAGAATATATATGCATAGATAGATAGATAGATAGATAGATAGATGGATAGATAGAGTTAAGGATAGAAGAATATATATGCATAGATAGATAGATAGATAGATAGATAGATAGATAGAGTTAAGGATAGAAGAATATATATGCATAGATAGATAGATANTAGAGGCAAGGTTGTATAATAAGGTTGGTTACTCTCGTTCATCCAGTATGTGGTAGATGCAAGGTTGTATTATAAGGTTGGTTACTCTCGATGCGCTTCAGTGTACAAGAAATGTCGTCTCCTAAGATAGATAAAAACCTAAAATGGCGTCATTGATTATAGAGGCGAGAGTAGTCATATTAGGATTTTATCTGTCTATCTCAGAAGACGACATTTTCCGTACATTGGATTTGGAGCGCATCAATTGAGTAACCTATCTTATTATACAACCTTGGGTAAATACAAGGAAATATTTGCGTTTAAGTTTTATAAATACTATACGCTAGGCATGCGCAGAATCCGTAGAATGCGTCAAACTGCGTTTGAACTCTGATCTCAATTACGCTAGACGCATATTTTGCAAGTTTCATCATTTTCAAATTTGAATAAAAATTGTAAGAGCTAATAGAAGGAAGCATTAAAATTCGACTCTTATGTCATCATCACACATTTCTGTTTTTAGATTTTTTTAAAAACCCTGACCGGCCTTTCGACCGTTCTGCATTAAAATAAAAAATCCTTTTTATCGTATCTACCAACCCCTTAATGGTGAAAGTTTTTTCTTAGACATATTTGTTCGAAATACAAGATTGACTCCCCGGTTTGTCGAGAACAATTTGCAGGTCTGTTTGTAACTTTTATCTAATATTTTATTTAAAAAGAAATTTATTCACCAACTCTAGAGATCAAAGAAACCGCCGGGGGGGGGGGCAGCTTCATTAAACAAGGAAAAACAAAAGTAAAACAGTCCAAGAAAATATGATTATGCATTTTCACATCTGTATGTAATAAATTCCCTATTCCATAGAATTCTTTCACACCAGTATCAATCCAGGTACAGCCCAATTAGGTACTCATGGTTCAAAGAATGTCTTACTATTAATGTAAATTCAGACGCGATCTATCTCTTTACTATCAATGTCAAAACACAGACACAATCTAGTTCTATATTTCAAGAGTGTGATTCAAGATGCTTCTAGTTTGCTAAACATGAAGTAATTACTCTCACACAGTAATCAAAGTGGAGTCCAATTCCAACTGAAGTGTTTTTAAATATCTATGTTACAGGTTAAGTTAATGTAAGTATTCACAAGATTTGCACAGATATATATCAGCGTAGTTAAGCTAATCACATTTCATTTACAGACGTAGCTAGGCTAGCTTAAACACAATACAAGTCTTGTGTAACTATTTACGTAGATAATTAATAATGTACAACGACATTTGAGTTCAGGTGTACAGATATTACAGTTACACTATATGCATTATTGTATATCATACATATAGTTTATTAGAGATAAAAGAATCATCAAATTTAAGCTCAAATGACTAGTTCCAAAATCAAATTTAAGAAAAAAATTTTGTATCATATGATGTCATAAAGCTAAAATTAATTAAAGTTTTATTAACATAATAATAAAGAGTCTAGTATTGTTAGCAAAATTTTAAAAATTTTCTTTCGATAAAAGGAATTGAGTTGCAAACTCAGAATTTACGGGCGGTATATCTTTGCAGCCTAATGGTTTAATCCTTTTTTATTTCAAACGTAGAATAATTAGTCTAACAGAATTAAAAGTTTGAAATAACAAAGCTATGTGAAATAAATTTGCCAACGTATAAGAAAACCAGGACTAAGGAAAAAACACAATTTCTTTAATTAATTAAGATTCAGAATTTTAAATCTTATTTTAAAAATCTACCTCAAGGGTCGTGTGTTAAATAACTTCAAATTCTCCTCTGTAGTCGGAACATAACTAAAAGTATAGAAGTATTTCACCGGCGTGGTTAAAGAAAAAAAATCATAAAATACCTGAGCGGTCTAGGTCGCAGAGCTTTTGATCTGTTATGGCGATATCTAAAAAAAGTTGAAATAAAACTATTTGATTAAACCTTGTTAGCGGCCATACAATGTGCAAGTTTTTTAACATAAATAATGTCTCAATGTAATATTTGTTTTTTTAGATTATTGGAATAAGATTATCACAAAAAAGTCATAAAAAAATGTTTTTTCTTTTTACCTCACTCGTACTTTGTCATCTCCCGGTGGTTCAGTGGACATTTTTAAGATCTGAAAATTTTGAAAAATTAATTTTTTTGGGAATATAAACATTTTTTAAAAGTTGTTTATGAAGTCTAAATTAAAAATCCTATGATATTTCTATTATAAGGTCTAAAATTACACACATTTTAGTAATCCTAAAAATTGAGTTGTCCTATTTGATTCCCTCCCCCTCCCCAACACACACACAACTCCACAAGATTTGTCTTTTTCCATCTTGTTTCCTTCTAGCACAGTGCTGATGCTCTTCAACTTTTAATCAAAGTGGGGTTTTACATCTTTAATACCTTTTTAACCTGTGTCAACATGCTCGTGTGATTGTCGTGAATTGGATTTTTACATGCTATGGCCAAGGAGTATGGAATAGAAGGGAGATACAACTGAGATCCGCCCTACCATATGATTATGCATGCTTTGCAGACGGTACTATATACATTTGTATAAGAATAGATTATTGTATACGCGGTAAATGTACATCGGACAAATATTTCTTATACAAATGAAGTACCGTCTGCAAAACATGTATAATGTAGAGCGGGCCGCGTCAGTTGTTGCTGCCTTCTATTCCATACTCCTTGGTTATGGCTCTTTAAAAAAGAAAAGCCTCAAGGGCATATTTATTGCANAGGTTTAATTTAAAAGGACTGTATAGGTTTAATTTAAAAGGACTGTATAGGTTTAATTTAAAAGGACTGTATAGGTTTAATTTAAAAGGACTGTATAGGTTTAATTTAAAAGGACTGTATAGGTTTAATTTAAAAGGACTGTATAGGTTTAATTTAAAAGGACTGTATAGGTTTAATTTAAAAGGACTGTATAGGTTTAATTTAAAAGGACTGTATAGGTTTAATTTAAAAGGACTGTATAGGTTTAATTTAAAAGGACTGTATAGGTTTAATTTAAAAGGACTGTATAGGTTTAATTTAAAAAGACTGTATAGGTTTAATTTAAAATGATGTAAAATCTTTTGTATAAAAAATGTGTATAATGAAATATATGAATAACAAATTAACAAAAAACGAAAATAAGATTTGAAAATTCTAGATTTTAAAAACCTATATTCTAGATAAATCCGTGGGATTAGGGTAAAATTTCATTCTTCAGTAAATGTATATAAACTTTCTTCTTTCTTTATCCACAGAAGTTAAAATTTTGAGAAAATTGAGTCATCAATTCTAATCTTTCTGCTTCTTAGACTATAAAAGTATATAGAAAGCGTCCGTTTTAGCTGGTAAAAAGTACGGGTACGTAAAAAGCCTTGTTTTTTATTTTTTTTTATTTTTATTGTAGAAAATTGATTGTTTTGAATTATATAAGTGACAAATAGAAAATGAAGAAAATTGCGAAAATTTATTACTTTGCAAGATAGAAAACGAAGATATCTTTCTTGTTTTTACTAAAACAGATGTTCTAAAGGAACCGTTGTATATCAAACTCTACCTCTAATTAGAAGGATCAGTTGACCGCCCTTTTACTTTGTTTTTATATTGGAGATAGATTATGTACTGCAACGGTACATATCTCATATAGATCCAGACTGCTATCAAAAGTTGCATCAATTTTTAAGACTGGGTCCACTGTTGCAAGACCTTGGCCTTTCCTTTAACCTCACTCACTTTCATATATTTTTTGTAACCCTTGACATGTGCATTTTAGAACTGTAAAGTACTTGTTCTTAGCTTTACTTTTAAAGAAGAAATTGGAAAAATTCAAATCGATTTTTTTTTGAGAGCTTGCAAACATTAAATAGTCTAAGGGCAATGGAAAGAATAATGCGCTAATGCCGCAACTTTGATTCAAAAACTTTCTACATTACCTTTTGCAAAGGAATTGTATCTTTGTCACAAATTCAAATTTACTAATCCCTATATCTTAGCAACTTGATGGTGCAAACCTTAGATATTTCAAACTATATAATATTTGATTTACCAGAATTCATAGTTTGAAATATCTGAGGGATTATATATAGGGATTAGAAAATCTGAGTTTATGGCAAAGACTCAAATCCTTTACATGATACACAACTATATAAACCAAATGTTATGCAAATGCAGAAAGCATGCAGATACCAAAAAAATAGTTTTAAGGTTTCAAAAAAAGAGTAGAAAATTTTAGAAATGGTTTGTTTGCCAAGCTGTATATTAAGGGACAAACTGATTCGGAAACTTATGAATTAATCGTTTTTCTTGTTTGTAAAGTGATTAATTCTGATACTCTCCTCCAACATTTTTGCAGCAGCAATAATCAACTTAATTTAGTAGAGAAACCACAACTGAGATAAATATTAATATTTTAATCATTCTTCTATATATAAATTTGTCTTGTCTTGGTGTTTGTTTGTCTGTCTTTCTGTCTGTTTTTTTGTATCCAATAAACGTCAAAACGGCTGAACCGATCGGGCCCAAATTTTTTGTGGGACATCACGTGACCACAGTGAAGGTTTATGAATGATAATAATTTTTAAAAAATGTGTTTTAAAGGTTCTTAATTTTGTAAAAAAATATTTTAATTCTTGAAAATCCGCAAATTTTTTTTTAAAAATCCGCAAAAATTTTTTCTTCTTTGTTTTGAAATGTAAACAAAAAGAACATGTTCACAATTTAATTAGAAGATAGNCCCCCCCCCCGGAACTTACATAAAATCTAAAATATATTATACAATATACATATAAGATATTTTCCCTGTAAATATAAAAATATCCTGCAGCTTAGAATATTCAAAATATAAACATAAAATAACTTTAGAAAAGGATTTAAGACATCTTTTATATACGTATTTTATCAATTTCAACTTTTAAAAAAATTCAAGACTTTTTCAGAGAGATTTTAAAGCTTTTTGCAAAACTAAGTCTTTTATATCTTTTAACACCCCCCCCCCTTCCTTCTTATTCTTCTAGTCCCCCTAAAAAAACTAATGAATGTTTATCTTGCCCCCTTTAATTTGATTAGCATAATAGGTTGAGTTTCAAGCCAAGAATTAAGGCAGTTGAGACACATATTGACGCCCGGCCTTCTCTCGTCAATATTAGGAATTTAACACTCTCTCGGCATCTATTTTAAAATATATTTGATATTTTGAAATCTGTCCTCTATTTTAAAATTTGTTTGCCATTTTGAAATGTGTCCGCCATTTTAAATTATGCCCGCCATTTTGAATTATGCCCGCCATTTTGAATTATGTCCGTCATTTTGAATTTTGTCCGCAATTTTAAACTGTCTCTCTATTTCGAAATCTGTCCGTCCCCGTCATTTCGAATCGTACGCCATTTTGATATCTGTCTTCCAATTTTTAATATATTCGCCATTTTGAAATCTGTTCGCCATTACGAAGCATGTCCGCTATTAAAAACTTGTCCTCTGCATTTGTTATATATTTTTGCAATTTTGAATCATCATGTCCAGTGTTTGCCATCATCAAAATATTAATATGTTTACTTACGTGTCTGCCTTTTTGAATCATGTCCAACATTTTAAAATCTGTCCGCCATTTTGAATTGAATCCGACATGTCCAACATTTTCCAATATGTCGACTGATGTTTGGTTTGACAGAAAATTATAATTAACGAGTGGAATAAATTATGAGAGGTCATCAATGACACATTTTTTCATCCGGATATGCATATCTCTCCCCCCCCCCC